ATTTTCTTACTACTTGAGCCCTTGGTATCAGCTCCTCATTTCTTCCCCTCTCTCCCTCACGAACCCTTGCTAATTTATAAATTATTATGATTTTTTCCATGTTTTACACTGTCAAATGTTTCCATTTACCCCCTTGTCTATTTTCCATCCCCCTGGGAGGGAGTTATAATAGGTCATTGTGATCACTCACACTTTTTCCCCCTACCTTCCCCTTACCTTCCTGGTATGGCTACTCTCAATATTGGTCACAAGGAGTTTATCTGTCCTATACTCCCTGTTTCCAGCTCTTATCTATACCCATGTATATGCTCTGGCCTAGCCAGATTTATAAGGTAGAATTAGGGTCATGATAGTGGGGCTGAGGAAGCATTAAAGAACCAGAAGAAAGGTATGTGTTTCATTGGTGCTATACTGTACCCTGACTTGCCTGGCCTCCCCCCTTTGATTCTTCTGTAAGGGGATGTCCAATTGCCTACAGATGGGCTTTGGGCCTCCACTCCACACTCCCCCACCCCACCCCCATTCACGTTGACATGATTTTTTGTTCTGGGTCTTTGATGCCTGATACCTGAGCCCGTCAACACCTCACCCACAAGGAAGCTGCAACCAACAGGTTGGACTCCACCCCCACCCTTCCTCAGGAGTGTCTATTGATATATGAATCCCTAACCATCATGGCACAGCTACTAAACACAAATTTACATGATAGTGGCCATTAAAAAAAAGTGATTATCTCTGGCTAGCTATTTTTTCCAGAAGTATTAGCTAAAATAAAATCTTGAGGAGATCTAAAAATGGCATGCCTTCATTTCACCATTCTGAAAGTGTTTTGCTGGTTTTCTATGCTATCAGCTAAAAATTAAAAACCACTGCCATCAAGTCAACTCCAATTCATAGCAACCTTCGGTAGCGTTTGTGAGATTATAGATTTGCATGGGAGCAAACAGTTTTATCTTTCTCCCGCAAAGCATATCTTGGGCTTGGGGGCTGGGGTGGGGAGGCACAGGTCAAGAGAAGTGTGGATACAACGTGATATATGCCACAATGGGAATATATTGAGAGACTGCAGAGGAGGGTGCATTCAAGCCCTGAAAAGGAAGACTTCCACAGGAGTTCATCAGAGGCATCCTAGAAGAGGTGATACGGCCTCGCCTCTGAAAGGTCAGTAAAAGTTAGCGCTCAGGGCAGGAGTCACCGTGCCCCAGACAGAGGGGCAATGTGTGCATGGACAAAGGGCCCGACAGGGACACTCCCTGGGAGAGCTGTGCAGTGACCTGGAGTGTGGCCCGGCCCTGATCTGGCCTCAGCCTCTTAGCTGTGTAGCATTGTGCTACACGTTTTTTTAACTCCAGGCCTCAAGAGAAAAATGGTACATGATATGCAAATACCAATTTGCATGCTGAAAATAAAGAGGAGTGATGATATCTTCAATGTGAATCACAATTCAATATTAAAAAAAATTCACACAACTGCACTAATAAGCAACATCGTGATAAATGTAGAAGAGGTTGAAGTTGTCTACAATCTGATTTACCTGAAGCCCTAATAAGTACTCATGGAAGACGCAAGCAAGAATGAAAGGAAGTGCTGCATTCGGAAAATCTCCTGAAAAAATACCTAAGCAAGGTTCAACCCCAAAGATGTCACCTTGAGAAATAAAGTGTACCTGACCCGAACCATAGTCTGGTGGCCACCTCCTCTCCACTGGAAGACTGGAGAGCTGATCCCTTTGGATAACAGTGTCAGCACCCAAAAGCCAGATGCTCCTAACAAGCAAGGATTGTAAAAGTTCATCTCGGAGGGACCAGTCCCTGGAGGAGGACATCCTGCTTGGTAAAGTAGAGGCGATCAAAAGGGAAGAAAGCAATCAATGAGGTGGATGAACACAGTGGCTACAACGATGAACTCCAATGCGGCAATGACTGTGCTGAGGCA